TAAATTAAGCAAAAAATGTATATTAAGTAAAGAAAAATAAAATGTATAAAATAAATAGCTTAAAATATTTATAAAATATATATTAATAAAATATAATAGCACCAGTTGCATTTCTTCGACTTTTTTGAGACTTTTTGTTTAGATATATAAAAACGTTGAATATTTTTGTGATAATTGTTATTTGTTGCAATAATTGTTTTCTGCTCTTCTACAAAAAAATAAAAATAAATAAATAAGTAGATAAATACTTTGATAAATAAATATAGAAGAACTTATAATTTTTTTTTTTTTTATTTTTCCCAGCCGTATGTATAAAAAGTAAAATAAATATATATATATAAATATATATATATATATATATATATATATAAAATAAATGAAGCTTCGTATATATTTCAGCTTGAAGTAGACTCTTCAATTTGCAAACATCAATCGCTCTTCACTTTTACCTATTATTTTATGCCTTTTATCCCTTTAGGTATCATCTTATATCAATTTAATTGTGTATTTATTTAACTATTCAAATAAGCGCGATTGTTTACATGCATTCCCATTGAACTACGATAACATTAAATTAATATTAATGAAGCTCATTCAATGATTCCTTACTATGCAAACTCTATTGCGCTACACCAAAATATTCGCCTAAATTGAACTTCAAGTTCAGATACCTATATAAAGACGTAGCTGAGCTCAAACAGCTTGAGCTCTCAATTGTTATTTGTGAATATCATTAGACACTCATTGACTTTCAGCTTCACATGATCCGTGAAAAGATTTATTGTATTCTATGAGAGCTAATTCATTCACGGATAGATTTATCAGCTATATTTATATATATTGTATTATTATTTATTTATTTATATTTATTTTTGTTTTTAGTAAAAACTAATTATTTCAACTTGTGCTCCGATTATAAATCAATATTTATTTTTACTTTTTAACATATGCCAATTAGTTGCCTTGCTCTGCCTATTTATCTGTCCGTCTGTCTGTCTGCTTGTTTGTCTATTCTGTCCATCTGTCCGCTTGTTTGTTTGTGTGAAAATCACACACATTATCTAAGCGTTTTCCACTTCAAATGCGAGTATGGCCAATACATTTCCCATTTCCCTTTGCGTCTGTTTACGCTGAGCTAAAGCGCGGATGCAATAAAATTATTACCGCCTAAAACACGAGCAATTACAAATGGGAAACTCTGACGAAAAGTGGCGAACTGGGCAAAAAGAAAGAAGAAAAGCCAGCCAAGGCCAACAATTATAGTTTGAGTGGGGAAAAAACTAGGGAAAAACCATATGCTGAGCGCGCAGCTGAATGACTCAGCTGCACTAAATGCTCAATAAAAGATTTATAGTTTCAATGAATATTCGAGTTGAGTGCGTTAGGCAATGGCAAGACAAGAATTGCTCAAAAATGAATGACTGTGTGAGATTTAAGCAACAAAAAACAAAAACAACAACAACAACAATAGCAACAAAATCTGAAAAGAAAATAAAAATGCTCGCACTTTGCATGCGCTGCTCAGAGCGAGTGTGCGCGTGTGTGTGTGTGTGTGTTGGTGTGTGTGTGCAGCATTGAAAATTGCGAATGCAAATATAAACAAGTATTCAATGTTTACAGAGCTCAGAGACAGACAGAGCAACGGCTATAGCAACAGCGCACAAAACAAAAAATTACGCATACGCCAAGGCGGCCCATGGAATAAATACTGCAAATATTTTCACTAATTCTCGGCACACACACACATGCACACTACCCCAACATATGTGTATACCCTAATTGAGGCGTAGCAGTCAGCAATTATAGCAGCCTATGGCCATAGTTTATTAACATTTATCAATTTGCCTAAATTGGGAATTGGGAATTCGTTGCTATATTTGCTTTTGCACTTCAGCTTGATTCAATTTAATTAGGAAATATTTTGCTTCAATTCTTTTGAAATTTTTAAATGAAAATATGCTAAGCCATAGTTTATTTAACAAAATATTTTTATAATTGAAAATAATAATAATAAATCTGTGAAGTAGTGGCGTCTGTTCAGTTGATATAATTTTAATAAAATTCATAAATTAAATATATATATAATTTTTCTAAATATAAAATAAAAAAAATAATGCGCTCCAACTTTTTATATACCCAACATATATATATATATTTTTTTATTTTTGTTATTCAATAACTTTTCATACACATTAATCTTAACGCAACGAAATTTCTTCCAGGAAGTGCTAAAAATTTCAAGTCTAAATTGCAATAGTTAATTCTCTGGTCGCTTTAAGAGCACCCCATATATTTTTTTATGTGTTCTCGGCCCTCATTTTGCACCATCGATAAACACTGTTAGCTTCGCCATCTGGCCCATTTAGCATTCGGAATGCGTCCGCTCACTTTATTTTCTTTTTCACACAAAATTTGTTACAGATTCTTTGCTCTAATTCTAGGAATAGGCCAAAAACAAACTGAACTGAGCAGTCAAAATGCGCAAAGTTTTTGGCATACCAGAAACTAATGTAACGGTAAACTAAAAATTGAATAGCCGTAAATCCAGAACACTCTTCATTTCTGAAACTTTTCGAACGGACTGTGAGCTTGTTTAATTTATTTAGTAATAGCCAAAAGTAGATAGAAATATTTGCACCATTCGTTCCTTTTTCAATGATTGAATAGATATATTTATTAAATACGTGTATTTAAATAAGAAAAAAAAAATAATAATTATATTACTATAAAGATAAGATTCTAAATAAAATAATAAAGATATGTATTTTATATTTAAATTATATAAAAATTAAATTGTAAAAAAATGCATGTACATTTTCTTTTCTTTTTAGCATTCTGGTAAAAAAATAAATTTTTTATTAATGTATCAAAGCATAGCTTTAACTCCCAAGTTCTCAAACCTATACTAAACCAGTTTCACCCACTAACGCAGCATATCTCATAACCTTATCAAATCCAGATTCAGATCCCATTCACATTTTCCCTTGAAATAACATGATTTTTGCATTTTAGCTGCTGAAATTTAATTTATTTTTAATTACCGAATAACCAAAAATGGAGAAAAATAGGAAAAAAAAAACGTGGAGCATTAAAAGAGTTTTTCGAGAGACTGAGAAAGAGAGATAGAGAGTGAGAGAGAGAGAGAGAGAGAGAGAGGAGAGTGCAGCAACAGCTTTCTGGCTGGTTTTGGTATTGGTTCATGTAAGTCCTTAATTAACCGGCGATTAATTATTTGCCAATTTAACCCTCATCAACTGCTTGCTGGAGCACTAATTAGAAGCGTCGCCGCATGTGCCACGCCTACGCAACGCCCACACACTCTGGCACGCACACACACACACAGATGGTAGAAGGGAACGAGTGGTAGGGGGCATAGAACCTACCGCTGTGCCTCTGTCTCTCTCTCTCTCTCTTTCTTTCTCTCTCTCTCTCTCTCTCTCTCTCTCTCTCTCTCTTTCTCTCTCTCTGTTTATGTGTAGAGTATCATTTGAGGCACATTTATAAATGGCTACAGCGAAAAAAAAGACTTCCTTTCATGCCAAGGCATGTATATATAGAGTATACATATATAGCATATATATGCCCATACACACACACACACACACACACATGCATATAAATGCTGCTTTGGGCCATTGTTTGCGGCACGTTGCTGAAGTTAAAGTTACCGCAGCAACTTGTAATTAACTGAAAAGCAAAAAAAAAATCAGCAACTTGGCCAAAAACTTTTGATGCTCGCTCGTTTATCGAAGAGAGTATATTGGCGGCTATTGCTCTGGCTGTTCACATAGGGAGAGGGGCAGCAGAAGATTCCAATCTTGGTTCACTTGGCTATTGGCAAATCTTTCACAGCTGAAAAGCTTTTCTTCAGGGCATCTTAAGTTCTAGACGTATTGCAACTGGAAATGTTTATATTTGTTAAACTCTCTGATTGACATACAGCTACATAAACATTTCATATTTCAGTTCCATTTTTAATTATTCATAATCATTGAGGGCATGGAAAATATTTATAAATATATCTTCAATACAATACAAAACAAATCGAATTTTTGCCGACATTTTTTACAGCTTCAAAGTGTTGAAAAAGTGAGCACAAGATTCTTGAAGTTCTAGAATTTTTCGCCGTGTCCAGTCTTAAGATATCTATATATACTATATCTTCATTTACTTCAAATCCGAGCGGGTATTACAGTTGTTGCTACAGCATAATGTTTCAGCTCATTTTCTTTTCTATGCTTAATCTCTGGGCTAAAACTAAGCCATCTCCGCAATAATAAATAAATGTAATACAGTTTTATGCCCAGTTATATGCATATGGCCAGCTGTAGCTGCTGCTGCGCGTGCCATAAACATTTTTAATGCCCCAAAAACCGTTTTTTTAGGCAACAAAGCGAAAAAAAAAGCAAAAAAAAAGGATGCGGCTTTGTTTATGGCTAAAGACAATGAAAAGCGTGTTAGATAGCTCTCTCTCTCTCTCTCCCTCTCCTCTCTCTCTCCCTCTCTCTCACTCTGTTAGCTGAGCTATTGGACATTTCAATTAGGTTAATATAAACGCGTGTCTGCTAAAAGCATTTATAGCATGTGGGCGTGGCAATTATTGGCCTCATTTCCATTTGCGGCCAACTAAAACTAATTACGCGGCAAAGCTCGCACTCTGTCACACTATCTCACACCCTCCCTCTCTCTCCCTGCCTCCTTCTCTAACTCTGTCTCTTTCACGCTCTATTGTTGTATAGTTTTAAATATAAATTTCAACGCTTGAATGCGTTTTTCCATTGATCTATTAACTGTCCATGCGGGTCAACTAAAGATAAGCATAGCTTTAATAGGGAATATCCCTACTTTATATATATATTTTGTAGATTTGCAACTTACTTTAATTTCCTTTTGCCGTGTGCTTGATTCTGTTTTGCTTTGTTTTGTTTTCTGATTTGCACGATTATCTCGTAATTAAATTATATTCGTTCACATTGTCCGTTTTGTTGTTGTTGTTGTTGTTGTTGCACTTTAATTACATGAGTTGGCACTAAATTGCGTTTGCGCTAAATGAGTTTGGAGCAAAAGAAAAAAGCATTCAGATGAAGTCTATGCTGGGGGTGGGAACTGGGCGGTGGGAGCTGGAAGCTGGAAGCTGGGGCTTTAACTACGGCTGGGGGCTTGCTCTGCCAAGTGGTCTTCTCTCATTTACATTTTATGCATATTTTAATTGCTCGCAGGCTAAAAAATTCGAAGGCAGCTTTTCACTGTCCGAAACAGAAGCGAAAGAAAAAGCAGCCAGCGAACAATGAAAATGTGGCCGGGCACAGCGGCAGAGGCCGGGCCTGAGGGGCAGCTGAACGGAAGTTGAGCGCGCTCTAAGTTTTTGTTGTGGTCAATGCACTTGGCTGGGACTTTGGCCGGCGGCTGGGTGCCAAGGGAGCACTGCGAGCGCTGGGGATTTTATTTTTAATTGAAAATTAGAGCGAAACCTGCAGAAGTTTGTCCTTGAAGCTGCGCTAGCCTTGCACAATTTATGTACAATTTTTTTTTTTTTACTGTTTATTGAAGTTCAATTGGCGAAAGTTTTTCAATTAAAAAACCTGTGCAAAAGCTTTTATCTAGATATACATATATATGTATGTATTTTTTTTTAAAGGGTTTTGTTTGACCAACTGTCCATTGGCAGTGAGGGCTTCAGTTGGCCTACGAGTGCTTGCAATGCTAACAGCTAATTGGATTTTTTTGTGCTGATAAGAGTTGATAGACGCATAGAGTATATATAAATGTATAATGTGCATATGTATGTATGTCTGCATATATAAAATTGGATATTGACAAGCATTGTTGACATTTTAATATCAATCTCCATCAACGAGACAAGATTACCGCGGCGGATGCAAATTGGGAATTGCGAATGGGCATGCGAAGGGCGGAGACAATGATAAATGCAAACGAATTCCATTTAAGAAAGAAAACAAAAATGTACATACATACATATATATATATATATATATATATATATATAAGATATATAAATGCAATGCAGAAAGCCATCACGAGCGTATACAATAATAAAGAGTAATAAAGAATATGCAAAGAGGAGGCGCACATAAATTAAGCATATTATTACGCTGGCTAATGGATAACACCTGGTTGGGAGCAATGGCAAGGGGGTGGGTGGGGCGGCAGTCGGGCTGTTTGACAGCGCCATCGAACCGAGAACACAACACAAGACCAAACATAAACAGATGAAGATGAAACACACACAAGCACACGCACACACACACACACACACATGTTAGCGCACGTACGCGTACGTGTGTGTGTGTGTTTTAGAAAGCGGGTAGAATGGGAGGTTAGCACACATTTATTTACACTTCACTCAGTTGGCCAATGGGGCTGCCTGCTGCTGCTGCTGCTCACTTCGCGCACGTTTCGCATTCAGCTAGCTATATTGAACTGTTTTCTCTAAATGCTCTGTTCTGTAGTCTGAGGCAGCCGCTAAGTGTACCGCACGCTTTGAACGACAACGAGGAACTGAAATGGCAACTGGAATGCCAGGCACTCCGAAACAGGCGCTCGCACAAAAGCTTCAGGCGAACGGAACGAACTGGCACTGGAACAGAGCGTAGCGCCAGAGAGTGTGAGTGAGTGCTGCGACACGTGCTGGGGGCGGTGAGAGTGTGTATGTGCGTGTGTGTGTGTGTGTGTGCGTGCATGCGAGTGAGTGAGTGGGGGAGCGAGAGTGTTCTAGTCTAGCATGTTGCGCTAGGGACACTTGTAGCTCGGCCTCAGCCATGTTGCTAAAGCACAAAATGTTGCTGGGACTATTAAAACTGTTGCAACAAACTTTTCTATGTAAACAGTGGCTGTTGTTGTTGTCTGTTTGTTTATTTGCTTTACGAACTGACAAAATAAAAAACAATTAATTTTTAAGCACAAACGCTGCCGATTCCACGAGAGTGTTAATTTGTGGCTAGGTGTGGGTGGGTGAGTAAACACAAACATTAGGCCATCTGCGTGCTGATAAGATAAACAAATTGAGTCGGGGATCCGACGGCAATAACTAGCTGTATATCTGTATAGTCATTGCTGCTGTTGTTGTTGTTTTTTCTGTTGCTGCTGCTGCTGCAGCTGTTTTTCCCTGGCACTGTGTGTGTCAGTCCCGGGCAGACAGCATCGTCGCAGCGCCGAAGCGAAAGCGCCAATGAGCGCACAGCAACCAGGATGAGCTAGTGCGTGCGAAAGAGCGCGAGCGACTGAGCTTTATAGTTCAGTCCATTTCGCGCTCAATTGCCTCAGCTCAATGTTCCAGTTCGTTTCATTCCAATCTCGTTGCGTTTGGCATTTGGCGCGCATTTAAAATGCATGTCATGTGGCTTGCTGCTGCTTTAATCATTTCCCATGCATTAAATTCACTAACAAATTGCCATTAACTTGATTTCGTATGGCAAGTGCAATGGCAACGATGGCTGATGGCCAAAAAGCAAGGTGCTGAAAAGGTGGAAAAAAAAATAAATGGCATATATAAGCAGCTACTTTTGCGACATTAACAAGACACGAAAACAACCCTTTTAGCTCCATTTGTTTACACCCACACACACACACATACGCACACAGAGCAATACCGACAGCGACAGGCACTCTGGCATGTAAAGTCCTGGCAAACAAGGATTTAATGCTCTTTTGTGCCATTGTCGCAAATTAGGCAGTTAGATTTATGAACTGTGACTGAGCGCACACGTGACAGCTGGCTGCTCCTGCTCCTGCTGCTCCTGCTCCTACTGCTGCTGCAGCACTCTTAATATGCCATTAGAGCCAACGACTTTAAAGCGTAATTACAATTGTCTTATACAATTTGCGTCTTATTGAACCCTGCCGAAAAAGGTTTTCATTAACATTCACATGAAAGCCATCATTATAATGGCGAAAGTTAGCAGCCAGCACGCAAAAATGCCAACGAACTTCAAATACAACAAAAGCTTCAGGCACACCCACCGCCAACCGCCCACCGCCCACTGTCCGCTGCCCTATGGCCCAAGCACTTGGCCAGCTTTTGGCACGCAGGTGTCTTTATGCGTCTGCAGCAAATTAAGCATGATTAGGTAGCAAGAAGAACAAGAGCTTTAAGAATGGGTTACTGCTTAGGCATTAGCATACCTTTCACTCTCAATCTCTCCCTCTCGCTCTCTCTCTGTGTTTCACTTTCTCTTGTTTCCTTCCCTCCCCCAGCTCCAGCGCCCAATCAATTTCAATAGTTAATAAGCTGCTGCGCGTCATGTGGCGTCTCTTTTCTTTGTTTGATGCCAGTAATTGAATCTCCTGTTGCGTGTGCCCAGCGGACTGCGCTTTTTGCACAAGTGTGCGTGTCTCTATGTGTGCAAGTGTGTGTGTGCTGCATAAATTAATTGATTTACTAAGCACACGCTGTGTGTGTGTGTATGCAAACTACCGCAGCCTGTCCCGTTGGCAGCCCAGTTGCCAATTAGCACGCGCGCTGCACACGCTGCGTATGCGTAATTCTCGCCCAGCCAGCAGCAAATCAACCTGGTTTTATGGCCAACCCCAAGAAGTGAAGAGAGTGAAAAAAAGGGTCAATGTTTAATGGGCCACAAAACCCGAACAAAAAGTTGAGATGCTCATAAATTCCTGACAATTTCAATGCTCAAATTGCCCTCATAAAAGCGAGCAGAAAACAATCTAGATAAAATAAATGTATATACATACATATATACATAAGTGTGTATATGTAGGTGTATCTAGCGAGGCATTAAGGCAGGTGTCGAAAATTCAATCCAGGGCTACACTTTTCCATTTTGGCTGCACCAAATCAAATGTTGTTTCTGTGGCTTAAATGTGAGCTCAACGAGCTCGTCCTGGCTGCAACATAATCCGCTTTGTCCGTGAATTGTTGATACAGTTGCTTCTTGGCCGCACTCGTTGCACGACCCAAAATTACCGTTGGCCAACAATTTGTTGCATGATGGCTGCCTGACTGCAACAGAGCACTTGCGACAGACGTCAACTGGCATTAAAGTTGAGCTCAAGTATCTGTATCTGAGTATCTGTATCTGCGTTTGTGTTTATCTGTATCTGCACTCTCACTTGCAACTGTATCTGTATCTGTATCTGCAGTGTGTATCTATAATATATCACTTGTATCTATATCTATATCTATATCTATATCTATATCTATATCTATATCTATATCT